AAAAAAAAAAAGAAAAAAAAAACCAAGACAAGAAATGAACATATGATTTCTTCTAGAGGTTGAATAACTTTACATAGTATAATTAATATCTTCCGAGCAGACGATGACATGGTTCTCCTTGGGCGTTCGATTTCTGCTCATGTATACATAATCAGTTTATACGCGTAATTGAGCGGCTCGTTTCATCATAGCTCGGTGTGAATGATGATATCATCATCCTCCACCTTCAGATCCTTATTGGAAGCCGAGAAGAGACACAGCGCGTCGGGATTAATGTTCCCTTTGATAATGCCGGCAGCTGAGTAGCAAAAGGTGACAACAGACGTGACATCATCGTTATTCCCCTGCAAGTTGATGTCTTTGAGGATGATTTTCTTGCATGGGACCGTGTCGCTACATGCAAACTTCATCGCATCTTTGGTTTTCGAAGTCCCGGTTATGTTAAGGTACATTATCTGGCTTATTGCCACTGCTGAATCCTATTTATTCACACACAAAAAAAGCCTTAAATTTTAACATCAGATCAAATTAATCATCTTTTGATGAGTTTCGATTTGACATCCGTATTGTATATATAAAATAAATAAATTATATTTTTCCATTTACAATAATAAAAACTATATTTATTAAAATAAATTAAAAAATAAATTTATTTCTCAATTTTAATATATTCATGTTTAATGTAGTTATATGTTATAAGTTAGAAAAAAATATTATAACATAACAAATGCAAGTCGCACAAGTAACAAGTGTCATACTAAAATATTAAATAAATAAATATATATAAAGTACTTAAATTTTCAACTACTTTTTCTCATTGATTTTAAATTTTAATCAAAAATTTTAGTAAGCACCCGTGTAATACAGTACACGGGCGTTGTACTAGTGAACACATGAATTCACACTTAATGAAGACATGAATTCATACTTCATAACTCCATACATTACATAATGGAGAGTAACATCTCCACCACCATTAAGTGGGTGTTACAATCGACATGAATTACAACAATAAATAGGAATAGCACTAAGATATGCATATTCCATGAAAATTTGTATGACGACAGGTGCTAGCATGAATATTCTCAGAATGGCTGCTGCGGCTGCCGCCTTCATCTCCCTTGTCATGCTGACCCCCATCTCGGAATGTAATACTATTCCTACTACTGTCACCCTAATTCATAGGGACTCTTCCCTCTCCTCCACGCAACGTCTAGCCAAAGCATTCCGAAGATCCCTCCATCATCATCATCAGCTCTCCGCACAAACGCCATTGCCCAACCCCACTGTCTCGAACTCGGGAGGCGATTATCTCGTCAATTACTCAATCGGCT